CAATGCAAGCACTCTATATTGGCCTGTGAATTTAGGCAGAGCAATAACCAACCTTCCCTACAGCAAACGCAAAATAGCTGGGGAAGTTCTCCTCTGTCACAAAGCAGCACAAATTCCCCTCATGGGCCAAACAAACCCTGTTGTTCAAGGGATCCAAGAGTAACTCCAGGAGTGCACCAAGCACCTACAGCCTGTACCCGAACTGAGCACTCAGATGGGAACCAAGCAAAGGAAACCAGACCAAGAAAATGGCCCAAAGCATTGCACATCGGAGAAACAACCCTCACTTTTATAAATTTAAAGGTTTATTAAATCTTAACAAAGGACTGAATAAGGAAAACTCACAGCACTGGGAGTCTCTATGAACATTACATAGAGCAGCTCATCTATCAAATGGTTGCTCTGCCTTTTATACCCTTCATCCCGCCAAAGTTTTGCCATCCACTGGTGGAGATTCCTTTCTTACCTCTTGACTGGAGGTCAGGTGTTGTTACACCACACCTCCTGGTCACAAGCCGGCCCTCCCCAAAAGCCCTGACTACCAAGGCTATTGCAAGGGGGAGGGGAAATAGGACTATGGGAGCCTATATTACAATAACATCACTATACATTTTTATATCCACATAATATCTACCTCTTAACAGTGAGAGCCAACTGTTACATTACTCATCTATAGCACACAGAACCAGGAGAGAAGGCACTGTTGGCTTAACAGCTGTAATAATTCCTAACAAATACTCCCACATTTTTGCATATTTATTGGACATTCCCAGGACTCCTGTTCATGTTAGTCTGCACCTCTGCCCCTCCAGAAGCGGTCGAACTGGCAGGACCTGTCTGCCAGCAGGAGCTGCTCCGAGCTGGGAACACGACTGGTGGTGCTGATTTCCAGAGGCTTCTGTGTCCCAGGAGAAGATAAGGAAAGAGCGGATTGAGAGGTGCTGGCGCTGCTGCTGCTCTGTGCCAGAGAGCCCCGGCTGGGCAGGGCACGGCGCTGCAGGCTCTTTCTCCTGCCAGAGCTGGGCACACCTGGGAACAAGGCATGGCAACTTGTGGGGAAACCAAAGGCTTTGTGGGGGCTGCATTGCTCAGCACACAGCCAGGCCATCTGTGACACAGAGTTCTGGCACCTAAAAAGATAAAAGAGAGGCAAATAGCTGGGAGAGGTTTCCTTTTGACCTTTCTTACCTGTTCACAGAAGTGGCCAAAATGAAAGTTACCAAGCAGGGCCTGATCCCTTCTCCTGCAGGAGGGGCCCTGTACTGGCTCCTGCCCAGGGCTGGTACCCTTGTGCCAACATTCAGCTGACTGGGAGCAGAGCTCCTGGGGCCCTCCAGGGATACACCAAGCTCAGCCCAGTTACCTGGTACACATGCAAATCTTCAGAAAAAGATTAGAGTGGAAAAATGTAACTGTCATGATCATGATATTTTACTATGTTTACATGCTGTATAGGAGTGCAATTTCATGCATTTGTGGTATTTTCACACATTTTAATCTCTGAAATACTGTCAGATACACTTTGATTCCTAATGGAAAGTCTTAAACTTTTAATTTAGCTTATAAAATGAAGTTACTGACATTAAATAATATGTACTTTGTAGTGTAGAAGAACACAGTAATAGTGTGAGTAATTATGATTGCTTAAGCACAATTGGCTTGGGTCTGTACAGGAATGTGAAATTTTGCAAGAAGAGAATATTTTTACTAAGTTTTGTAAAATATTTGAGAAACATTTCTTGTTTGAAGTAATATGTTGCAAACAACTTTTTACTTAGCAGTTTAAGGAAGGTTCTTACTTTTGAAAGCAGTACAATTTTACATTTTAAGAATAGAAAAATGTAGGCAGCTGGTGAACTTCAGAATTAATGCAGACCACATTTAGTCTTTCAGAAAGTATTAGTGATATATAACTGATTCAATGCATCTTTCATACGTACCTTTTATTTCATACGTACCTTTTATTTTTATTGGCTATCGAATATATACAGTATGCATCAGATAAATCGGACACATGCTAAATCCAAAGTTGCAGCTTCAAGCAGATTTTAACAGTACTAAGACACATGATTTCCTGTGTAATGTGAAAAGTAGCTGAAGCCTTTGACTATGATTAACTTTGATATCATAACTTAATTGAATGCAATTTTGTTCTGAGAGCTGTTAAGTAGGTAAGTGGCTAACTGGTTATTTAGCTAGTTAGATTGAAACGAAAGATTTTCCAGAGATCACTTGAGCTAACAAAATGAATGTATCAAAAATGAATGTATCAAAAATGAATGTATCAAAAATGAATATATCAAAAATGAATGTATCATGTTTGTAGAATCATGTGTTGAATTTTAAGAAACCTCTGCACAAAAAGGCATAGGAAAGAAAAACAAAGATCTTTAAAGCTTCTTGCAAAAAGACAAATACTGGAAAGGACCAGGAATGCCAAGACTTCAGACAAGGAAGCCCTCTGTCTCCAAACATGTCAAGGATGATGAACTTATCCAGATAGGAGAGCAAAGGACCAAAAGCGCAAGCGCAGAGGAGAAGAGTTCAAAAGTTCAATGCGGAGGAAGATGATGGTTTGTGGCTCAAAGACCACCAGGGACCCCCATAAAAGCCCCCACAAAAAACTACGCATGCCCAGAAGGGCATGGACCTATTTAGCATGAGAAGCGAAGACAGGCGGGGCCAGGGGTTGAATATGCATAGAAAAGTTGTGTAATGTATTGCACATGGAACACCTTTGTGAATAAAGTTGGGGGGCAGACTTCAGCTCGGGGCACAAGATTTCGGAGAGTTATCTCACTTGTGCCGGGCGCTGCCATACATACCCACTTGATAACTACATCGAGTTGTGGAGTCTATTTATTTATTCCGCATGTCGCTTCAAGATATGGAAATAATTGACTTGATGGCATGAAAGAAGTGGTTTTTTGAAGGCGCTGGAAATTGGAGATTCGAGGAGTGTAATTAAAGCCTCATTAGTAGAAACCAATTTGTTTTATACCTTGCTTTCCTTTTATTTGTTTTTCTATCAGTTCCCTGTGGTCAACAGGCAAGAGAATCTAGATTATCTTGAAACTGGAGAAAATCCTCTCCTCCTGGGGCTGGTCCTGCTCTGCAGTGACAGGCACAGAAGGGAAAGTTTGCTGGGAGCCCTGGTGGAGGTGGCCTCCAGTGTGCTGGCTTCTTCCTGCATCTCTGCCACTGTTCTGTGCAGGATGCTGCTCTCCACAGCCCCTGCCAGCCACTACCAGCCCTAGTGTATTCCCTCCTGCCTTTGTCTCAACCAGGGCCACACAGAGTCTGGAAAATGCCATTTTCAATGGATTAGTCCTGCCGAGCCCCTGGGCATGAGGCCACCCAGAAGCACTGGGCCGTGGGGGCTGTTCTCAGGGCACTGACCCAGCCTGGCTGCTGGCCTCTGGTGACCCCCCATGTCCTTTTCCATGGCAATATCTGCCAGCAGTCCCAGACCTATGTGCTGAGGTGAGAGGGAACAAAGGCGTGCCATGATGTCCCATTGTGATGTCACTGGATGGTGGAGGATAACATCACATGTGAGTGCTTTGCGACCTTGCACTCCTTTCTGTTTATATTCAGGTGCTGATGTCCCTCTGTAGGATCCACCACTGAGTGGTGGATTGTGACAGCACTGGGGGATGGATATGAGGCCTCATCCTTCACTGCTTGAATTTTGGTGCCAGCCAAGCCTGGGTCCAGACCGGATTGATTCTTGACTCCTGCCAAGCATGCCTAGTCCTCATCTGTCCCCTTCTGCTGCAACAGACAGACATGGCCACGAGACAGAGTGGAGCTGCCCCATCTGTCAGGTCACTAAGAATGACGTGGCTTCTGCTCTTCCCTGTCACCAGCAGTTCTGCCTGGTATCCTGCAGCAGGCAAAAAGAAATCCAGCTTGCCCTCTCTGCAGCAGTCCACTAGAGACTATCAGGTTTTCTGAGTGGGGTGGAGAGGATGACATACAATTTGCCATCAGCTCCCCTGAAGAGTCACCAGAGACCAGCAGACAGGCAGGAGAGTTGCTGGGGACCAACAGACAGGCAGGGAGACCTCCCCTCCACCTTGCCGAAATCCAGGAGGTGCTGTTGTTGTCGGAACAGTCCTGCCCACACTTGGGGCAGAAGGCCACCCACAGGCTCTGGCTCTGCAGCTCCCTGCTCAGCTGGGGACAGTGTTCCCTGTGGGGAAGATGGAGGAGACATGAAAGGGCCAGCAAGAGGCCACCCTGATGGTGGCACTAGTGAGATTCTAGTAACCCTTTTGCCAAGAAAAAAAAAAAAATTCTATTTCTCTGACAAAGTTCCTGGGTTCTGCTTTCTTCTCCTTCTAATGTCTTTGCCTGACCCCCACACCCCACCATCAGCTGAAAGCCCCTGGAGCCACAGGACCATTCTGGCAGCACCTCCTCACACAGGAAATCCTGCTGCAGCTGTGATGGTTGAAGAGCTTCTGAGAAAGTGGGTGCTGTGCACCACATGGTTATCCTGGAAGATGTGTCAGAGCTGCCTGCTGACTTAAATGGCTTTTTATAAGGCTTTTGACACAGTTCCCCCCCAAGATCCCGCCCATCAATGAGAGAGAGATGAATTAGGACAAAGCAGAAATCAAACTGAGTGAGTAGATTATAAGCAGAAATCCTGCTTAAAATAAGGAATCAAAATTCATTCTGAAAAGCAGGACCAGCCCTAGGATCAGCCATAGCCATGGATACAGGCCTGGAAGAGTCACCAGAGGCCACCAACTAGGCAGGAAGAGCTGGCAATGCCCTGAAAACAGCTTCAGATGTCTCAGTGTCTTCAGTTTGTCTGTTTGTGTGTTCTTTGGTTGCTTGGTTTTTGGTTGGTTATTTGGCTATTTAGTTATGTCTGGATTGGCTTCAGATATGTAAAATAAACATTTTCATGAATATTTTCCTCAAAACAGTCATTTTTATCTTCTTTCTAATTGAATGTCTAAATGTCTATTTTAAAAGATAGCTCTACTAGATATCAAAAGATATTAACTACTGTTGAAGAGTGCAGGGGTTTTTTGCATTGGAAAAGAGTTGATGACACAGTCCTTGGTGAATAATTTCCAAATGTTATATACACTCACAGCAAAGAAATCCATTATTATATTGTAACCATTTCCAGCATCTGTGATTTTGCTATATCTAAATCCTAAGGATTTAATTCCAGTATATTTAAATTGGCAAGTGGATGTGATTGGAGAGTAATTTTTGGCATCTGTCCTGTCACTTTAATATTAGGAACCTTTCTCTTTTAAGTTTTTTTTTTTTTTTTTTTTTTTTTTTCTCTGTGGTTGTCTTTGTCTTTGCTTGAAGGACTTTCCAAATGAGATTCCACGCAGCCTTTACTTTGGAATCTCATTGCAGCTCTAGACTCAACCATTTCAGAGAGGTCAGCAGCACTCTGTCATATCTTTTCTAGTCTATGAACTTCATTAACAGTGACCACTCTCATTAGTTCTCACACATTTTTACTTTGGTTCATAAAGACTGTTTCTCATGTTGCATTTTTCTACTCCCCTAACCCCATTCAATTAACATCAATTTCACTTTATAAAGTGATCATATATTGGAAATCTGTGTTCACATTCACTACGCTGAAGGTCCATCATGCTTCCTGCTTTCTGTTTAATATCTTATTTGTTATGTTGATTTCAGGGATAGAAAGGTTGCATTAAATGGAAAAAAATATTAAAAAAGCAAGCAAAATTCTAGGTTTTGCTAGACCATTTTACCTAACAAAACCTAGACCATTTTAGTCATTACTACAGCTATTCAGAAACTGAAAGGAAAAACCCAAATTTAGTTCTCAGTGCAGTACTTGTGACCAATGGTAACTATAACCCCCAAGATTCAGTTAAGTAAATAAATGTGAGCTACATGTTGTTGGACTAGAAGATAACTGTTACTGTAAAATGCTAAAAAGCTGATGTCATTTCTTTAAAAATCAACCAACCAAGCAAACACACAAAAGCCTCCTATTTTTAAAAAAATCTTGCCTATGATAATTTTGAATTTTTCTCAGTGCCTTCTACCAGATCCCTAGTGTCCACCACATCCCTATTGTGCAATATTAATTAACTGCAGCAATCAAAGATGAGAGTGAACAAGTTTGTAATAAAACTCAGCCTTCTGAAATAATGATTTCTGTATCAGCTCTTTCTGATTAAATCTCTCTCCTCCATTAATTCCCAGTTCTTCTAAATACTACACAAATTCATCCTTAATGCAGGGCCTTGTGCTGACTGTCAGTTCTTGCCATGATGAATGTGTTTCTTTATCTTGTACTTGATTGAGTTGATTCTGAATTCTGCCTACTCATTTGTTCTGCTTTTTCTTCATTTTCAGATTTCTCAGTCATAACTACAGAGTCACAACACAATGCTCCTGACAACTGATTCCTTTTTTGCCAAATTTCACATGTTTTCAAAGATCAGTTCTGCAACTGTCACTTCACCTTTACTGCCGGACATTCAAATGACAGATGAACTTTTCAGCCTTGCAAAATGTAAATCCAGCTCTTCAAGAAACAATCAATTACAAACCAATATGTATTTCCAGCCTTCTTTTTGTAGCCTCTCCATCACATATTCACATTTCAGGTTTGGAGAGCAGTCAATGTATTTTGAAAGTACAGCTTCAGAGCTGGGCTTCTCCCTTTTAATGTATATTAAATACAGATAATAAATACAGCAAACACTGCTATATCTGGGACTACATTTTTGAATGTGCTCACATTTCAGTGTGTCATGTTCTCTCAGTTACTGAGGGATCTTGGACCCCCCAGCACCAGTGGACTGCCCCAACAGGGACTTCACTAGGCACTGCATGGAAGCAAGACATGGGAAGATGCAGTTGTTTCTCAAGATTGCTGTAGGCTTGCTTGGTCCAGATTTCATCTTCCTCTGATGAGAGCCCCTCAGGACTGAAGGATTGCACAGGTGCCTGCCTTTGCCTCTTGCTGGGTAGGCGAGAATCCTGGGGGCTGGGGGCTCTCCTCTTTTGGGCTCCCTGTGAGACTGCAGCCCTGTACCTGGCTGCAGATGCCACCCTGGGCAGATGGACCTGCCACCACTGCCTGCTCTGGTTCCTCCTGGGTCTTGTCTCACTCTGTGGAAATGGGCATAGGTGGGCAGTGCCTGGGACTCCATTGGAGCGCAGCCTCTGCTGCTCCTGCTTCCTCCTCCACGTTTAATCCTGCTGAAACACTGGCAGAAATCCTCTCCTGGGAGCTGCTGGAACTGGAGCTGCCAGACATGGAACTGGAGCTGGAGCTGGCACTGGTCACAAGGCTGTCAGTCTCCTCCCTGCCAATGCAGAAAAGCAGCAGTCTCTGGGCCTCATCATTGCACTTGGCCACAATGACAGTGATGAGGCCATGGACCAGCGGTGCTCTGTGTTCCCCAAGGCAGTTCTGCAGCGTCTGAACCAAGTTCTCCACATTCAGACCATGGAGACAGAGATCATGCAGGATGTTGCTCTGTGCAACTGGTACCAGCTGCCACCGGTCCTGGAATATTCCCTCCAGCCTCTCACACAGCCAGGGCTGCACAGGATCCAGGAGGTGCTGTCACTGGCGGAACAGTCTTGCCCACACCTCAGGCAGGAGGCCACCCACAGGCTCTGATCCAGCAGACCCCTGCTCAGCTGGGGACAGTGTTCCCTGTGGAGAAAGGGACACTAGAGGGCCATGGGAGCTGTTTTCATCCGGGAGGATGGGAGCTGCCCCTGTGTGGCTGCTGGTCTCTGGTACTCTTCAGGGGAGATGACAGCAAACAGCAGATAGTCCTGTTCACCCTGCTCAGAAAACCTGACAGTTTCTGTCAGTGTCCTGCAGAATGGGCATGATGGATTTGTGTCCACTGCAGGATGCAGCCCAGGCAGAACCTGTGGAGACAGGGCAGAGCAGAAGCCACATGCTTTGGAGTGTCCTGGCAGATGGGGCAATTGCTGTGATTTTCTCTGGCCATTTCTGTGCTTGGCAGCATTTTGGGGAGAGCTGAGGATCAGGAGCTGCTCCCCTTCATTGGCATCACACGCTGCAGAAGAAGCTGTAGTCACTGACTGTCCCAGGGAGAGGAGGAAGGAACGGCCAGGCTCCTGAAGAACACTCTCCCACCTCCCTAAGTCCCATCAACCACCTCATGGGCACCCCAGTGGGGCATTTCTGTGCACAGCTCACCCTCAGTGCTGCACCTGCAGTACCTGGCTGCCCCAACCAGGCAGGGCAGGGAAACAAGAGTGATGGTTCGAGGATGGACACTCTAGGAGAGATGTTGATGGCAGCCCCCAACACACCACCAGTGCTGGAAAAGCCTGGTTTGATTCTGCAGAACCTAGAGTCTCCCTCAGCATGAGTCAAGGCTTGGGCCAGATTGGCCCAGTCACTGCTGGTGCCCAAATAAAATCAGCAGTAGATGTGTTGTCACACTCTGCTGCTTGGGACATCACTTTTCAGAGCCCAGTGATGTCACAATGGGATGTTCCCTACTATAGGTGCACAGTGCCAGGAAAGAAAAGAAAATTATTTCTTGTTTTGAAGTTCTACATTTTCATGTTGCTCTCCCTTGGTCACCTGAGTCATGCATCCACGGCTGTGTGTCTTGTCCCTGCTCCTGACACATGGCCAAGGTGTCCCAATGAGCAGGAATGGGGTGGGAGCAGTCAGCATGGACTGCCTGTGGCTGGATGATGCCCCCTTCTCTCACTGCCTTTCTGTGCAATGCCAGGATTTGGAGTATTTGGGTGGGGGTGGCCAGCCCTGGGTGAGAGGAAGGATCCTCTCCAGCCAAAGGCATGTAGGCCACTGTGCCCAGCTTCGAGAGGAAGCCCCCTCCTCTGTGAGGAGCAGCTGGGACTCCCAGTGGAGGCAGATGCTGATATACCAGGTTTTTTCTTCACCTTGGAGGCTGCAAGGCTGCTGGTGGCGGTCCCCTCCCAGGAGCTACTGGGCTGAGAGCTGCTGGATCTGGATCTGGACCTTCTGCAGCTGCTGGAGCTCTTGGAGCTGAGCTGGAGCTGGAGCTGGAGCTGGAGCTGGAGCTGGAGCTGGGGCTGGAGCTGGGGCTGGAGCTGGAGCTGGGGCTGGAGCTGGGGCTGGAGCTGGAGCTGGAGCTGGAGCTGGGGCTGGAGCTGGAGCTGGAGCTGGAGCTGGGGCTGGGGCTGGAGCTGGAGCTGGAGCTGGAGCTGGGGCTAGCCATAGGGCTGTTGTTCTCACCCCTGACATGACCAGAGCGTAGCAGCCTCTGGGCCTTCTCACTGCACCGGCCCACGATGACACTGCTGATGCTGTGGATCAGTGGTACTGTGTGCTCACTGAGGAGGGGCTGCAGCACCTGGACCAGCATCTCCACATCTGGACCATAGATGCAAAGGCTGTAGAGGATGCAGTTCTCTATGTACTCAACCAGCCACCACCGGTCCCAGTATACTCCCTCCAGCCTCTGACGCAGCCAGGGCTGCACAGGATCCAGGAGGTGTTCTTGTTGTCGGAACAGTCCTGCCCACACCTGGGGCAGAAGGCCACCCACAGGCTCTGGCTCTGCAGCTCCCTGCTCAGCTGGGGACAGTGTTCCCTGTGGGGAAGACAGAGGTGTCGCAGCTGCACAACTGGGGCTGTTTTCATCCAGGAGGAAGGGAGCTCTCCCTGCCTGTCTGTTGGTCTCTGGTGACTCTTCGGAGGCTCTGATGGCCATGTCTATATAGTCATCTTCTTCATGGCCAAGAAACCTGACAGTCTCTACTGACCTGCTGCAGAGTGGGCACACTGGACTTCTTGTCCACCGCAGGATGCAGTCCAAACAGAACTGGTGGTCACAGGGCAAAGCAGAAGCCACATCATTCTGAGTATCCTGGCAGATGGGGCAGCTCCCCTCTGTCCCTGTGGCCATTTCTGTGCCCTGCAGAGGGCTGGGGAGAGGTGAGGACCATGAGCTGCTCCCACTTGCAGAAATGCTTGGAAGGAGTCAAGGTTTGAACCAGACTGAACCAGGCTCTGCTGGTGCCCAAATATCAGCAGTAAGTTACATGATGTCAGAATCCATCCTCTGGTGAGGTCACAATCTGTCACTTGTGAGGTCATCAGGATGTGAGACAGGATGTTTTCCCCTGCAGGTGCACAGTGCCAGGAGGAAAAATGAAGTAGGAGTTTCTTGTTCTGCACTTTTACATTTCCATGTTGCTTTCCCTTAATCACCTATGTTACACATCCATGGCTGTGTGTCTTGACCCTGCTTCTGATGAATGGAATGTCTGCAGCTGGCCCTCACTGCCTTTCCATGTTCAGTTATGGGATTAGGAGTACCTGGGTGATTGGTGGCCAGCCCTGTGAGAGTGTCCAACCCCTGTGGGTTGATTTCCTGCTTCAGGGAGAAACAGAAAGAATGTTTTGCTCCAGCCCCATGCACTCCCACTGGCACCTGCCCACAGTGCCAGGTCCCTCTCCACTTCCCAAGTCTCCAGGTTTCTGGAAGCCAGTGTATTGGTGCTCCTCAAACCCACCAGCAATGGAACCTGGTCCCACAGCTGGAGTTGCTGCCTTCCTGAATAGGGTAGCCCTTTGCCCATGACTCCAGAGAGGCCAGCATTCATCACCATTGTTGGCCCTAGGGTCCCATCATCCCTTCTTACCACGGGCTATTGTCACCACATTTGAGTCATCAGAACTTCGACCACTCCTTTTTACATTTAGAAGAGCAGTCTTTGTTAGCTTGAGGGCTGCATGGTGCAAGTTGAGACTGCTGGGGGGGCGGCGCAGGCACTGGCTCTGTCCATTAACATCTCGAGTATCAGCCCCTGGTCGCTATTCACGGGGCTTCTCATCTGCCCCCCCAGAAGAGGCCATCACATTCAGGCTTTTCGGGCCAATGCCTACACCAGATTTTCCCAGGTTTTTTTGAAGTCAGAGTTTGTCATCTCTAGAGTCCTGCTGGATCAAAGGTGATGGCACAAGGACACTTTTTGCCACTTTCTGGGACTATGTTGACTGTTCTGTTTTGCTTACCCAGTAAAAAGGTTTGGGAGTTGAGTTTGGGAAAATCACCAGATGTTCAAGCATAGATTTCCTCTGCTTTCTCTTTAAGTAGCTGTAAACTCCTTCCCAGTTTTTTCCCAGACACCTAAAAGCTACAATTACCTCAGGCTTTTGAAAAAGGTAATGAGAATCAATCCATTTCATTAGACAAATGTGAGGATTCTTTATTGACTTGAGGCAATTCAGAGAAAGTGTCCAATAGTAAATATCTCAATCTGTTCTGAAATGTATTAAAGAAAATTCTCATAAGTTCTGCAAGTATTGCCAATGGCTGCATCTCAGGAACTCTTCTGTTCTTCACTATTTTGCAGTGTTTTTTCTTGTGCTTTTTAGCATTATTTATTTATAAATATTTTCCACTGTTCTTCCAGGGGAAAAAAAATAAACCATCTTCTAATCCTTAAAAAAAAAATCAAATATGCACAAAGTTTTCCTATTCACAAATTCTTATAGAGAGTTGGTCAATACAGGGGCCAAAACATCATTTAATGTCCTGGTGAATGACCTGGAAGCTGGGACAGAGAGCACCCTCAGCAAGCTGGACTTGTTCTTAATTCTTGTGGTTATAGAATTGCATCTTTCAGGGTCTCCAGTGGCACCAAGGCTAGTTGAGTACTTGCAGGTCTAGCCATCAGAACTTTCTTTATTATCCCCTCTCAAAATGCTCAGTCATGGTCTGGTCTGTCTTCAGCAGAACTAGAAATAAAAGGTACTTTTTGCCTGTCTCTGGTGATGTGACTCCTCTTCATGCCAAAATGTAGGGATGGCATTTGGTCACCTCATAAAAGATGATGAACAAATATCAAGATGTGATTATTGGTGTCCTAAACACAAGTTTGAGACACAGTGCAGACTGTGAAAAAAATGAAAAAAAAAATGTTCCTGGATATTAATAGTTCTCCAAAAGAGAATTTTTTAAAAGTTTAAATAGAAGACTTTTTCCTTCTTTTAGACAACTCTGTAAAGAAAACCAATAATATAATTAGCCATATATTTTGGTTCACAGCAAGGACATAACTAGCAATTGGCACATAGCAAGGTCAGCTCCTTAGTGAGCACTCTGTAGGTAAATGTGCCACACACGTAAAACAAGCAGCACACAAGAGAAGAGATGCAGAGGCCTGGAGCCTTTGATCACCCTAGGATCCACAGGATCCTGGGGGCTCTATTTTTAACATAAACATTAATTTTAAGACCAGTTACTTCAAAGCAGAAAAGAGAAAATTCTGGAAAGAATTCTGCTGGTCTCATGGTCTCTGAGCACCCTGAAGTGGTGGGTGTTCCTGAGTACCAGCTCCACCTGGAATATGCCATCACACCATTCTGCCCAACTTTAGAACTAGATCTCCATACAACACTGTGTAGATATTAATTATTCTGCAGGGATCTGTCCTTTTCTAAGCATGTGAAATCTCCAGGAAGAGGAGGAGATCCAAATATTACAATTATTATTATCCGCTCCCATGTATCTCAAATCCCCTTACCAGTGTGGCAGTAAGAGTAACAGGAAAGGCCTTGGCTTTGTGCAAGCCCTGCTCAGTAGTAGCAAAAACATCTCTGTATTATCAGCCCTGAGCTCAGCACAGGTCAAAAATACAGCCCCATAACAGCCTCTAGGAACAAAATTAACTCTACCCTAGCCAAAACTAACACAGAGGTGCAAAGTAGAAACTGGAGATGGTCCCTTTGTTGATCCCCACTGGATCCTGTTGGTTCCCAGCAGCAGGGAAAGGGCAGGGGGCAGCTGGCAGTGCCCATGCTGCACCAGTGCCTCGCAGGAACTGGTCTGCAGGGAAAAAAGAGCAGAACAGGAACAGCCAAACGTGGGCAAAGCTCAGTGAACCTTTATTACTGAAATTCACAGATTTCACCCCAACCAGAGGACTCTGCTGCTGCCCTACAGCACCAGACAGGCACAGGAATGCTGCGTGGGGGGAATCACCGCTGCGGATGATTTTCAGGTTCGGGGGCAGCTCTGCAGCTGCGAGTTCATCGATCTCGGTGCTGTCCTTTACGGGGGTGCGGTAGAAGCCCAGCATGTCCCCGGCGCAGCGCACGCGGTGCAGCTGCGAGTTGGGGACAGCGTGTCCCAGCTCTGCTGCCAGCCGGGCCAGCAGGCGATACTTCAGCCTGTTCTCCTGCAGGGGAGCCTGCTGCCAGTCCTCGGGAACAGAGGGCCCGAAGACCTCCCTGACGTGGCACTCCAGGCAGCTCTGCAGGTCCTCGGGAGGGATGTAGCTCCAGCAGCGTGGCAGGGGGTGGATCAGGCTGGGCTCGCTGCTCTCTGCCTCCTCAGGAACTGCTCGATCTGCTTCCACTTCTCCCTCCTCCTTCCTGCTGGCACCAGAACACATGTTCAGCCTCTGGGCTACACAAGACAGAGTGAGAGCATTTTTGTACTTGTGATGTTTTAAACCACTCCATCCAGACACTCCACATATCCCATGGACTCATCAGGTCTGTTAGCTAGAAGAGCACAGGCTTTCCCCAAGTGCTGCTCCCCACACAGGCTGCCTCTGCAGAGCAATCACACCCCCACCTTATTTCACTGCTCTGAATGAAAGCAGGATTTTAACAAGATTAGTTACTTGTTTTCTGTTACCGCTCCATTTCCTAATTTGCTATGAATAAAAAGCACTTCAGAAATTAACCACTATTACAGAAGAAAATCAGTGCCCATATGTAAAAAAAAAAAAAAAACCATTACTAGTTTTTAGGAAAAAAAATTACCTTCTCGTATGCCCCAATCTAGCCAACACCCATGCGTGGTTTCACGCAAACTGTTACAGAGGAACTGCTTTTCATTCCCGCGAAATCCCTTTCTTCCCACTTCTAACAAAAGCAGTAACAGCTGTAAAGGCTCCAACCCTTCACCGCTGCGGCCCCGCCAGTAGTGCACCTCGGTGGGCGCTGGCTGCCCAGAGAACCTGAGGAGCCTCCTTCCCTAAGAACACTCCAAAGCCGCCTGGACAAACCCTGAGGGATTGGCTCAGGGAGTGCCAGGCTACATGACCTCCAGAGGGCCACGGCCCGGTGAAGGCCCAGCATGAGGAGAAGGCCAGAAGCCACCCCCACCCTGGGGTGGCCGCCCCAGAACGCCGTGAGCCCCGCGGGGCCGAGCTCCGGCCTCCGCCGCGCCGCCACCCGCAGCGCCCGCACCGCCACCACGCTGGGGGCGCGCCGGGCGCCTGCCGCGGCCACCGCCGGTGACGTATTGCTGCCGCGCCCCGCAAAGCCTCCTGGGAAATGTAGTCTATCCCATCAAGCCCGCCCCCTTTTGATGTTTGGTCTTTGTGTGCTTTCAGGCCTAAGCGACAGGAAGGGAGATAGAATCAAGCAGGCATCAAGCTGTAAGTGTTGTCCAGGTGTTGCAAACTGGCAGGACACAGAATATGCTGAATTTTAAGGGACCCGTCAGGACCATCGAGTCCCACTCCCGGCCCTGCACAGCACCATTCCCAAAAGTCACACCATGTGTGACTTTTGCCCGAGGGTATCGTCCAAATGCGTCTTGAGCTCTGCTAGGCTGGTGCCATTTCAATGACTTCCTAAGTGTTACACTGCTTTTCCTCACTGGAAAATCCATCATGGAAACATATTTCCCACATAGTATATGGAAAGGCAAAATGTGATGCTACAGCACCGGGTTTAATGAAGGAGCAAGTTCTAATGTCCTGTACCACAGTGTACATGTGAAAATCATGTTGTCAGACCAAACATGGACACACTGAGGTGCACAGCTGCAAGCCAAATTTTCTCCCCAAAATCCCACATACCCACCCACACTGCAATGACATGCAAACTTCTTTGTTGTGATGACTGAAAGATAGGCTGGAAGTAAAAGCACATAAACTGGTGTCTACATAGCAGGTATTTGTTTATTGCAGCGCTTTACAGTGTTTGCTTTACATTCCATTTTTCCCATCCTAGCAGAAAGACAAACACCATGGTGTATTAAAGTTTCTCCACCAACACAGAAGCATCTAATATTGATTAAAAATATTTTTCATTAAATGTCTTATCTAAGACTCTCTTGAGACCAAGAAGGTGCCATAACGGTGATCTTCTTCAAAGTCAGAGTTCGAGTCCTGTTCTTCCTGGTTTGGCTAGAAACTGACATAGGAGGGAAATTCTTAGAAGTGTTTTCTTCTCAGTCTCATCTGTGATATGGTCTCACAGGTTATTAGAGAAAATCTGTGGTAGTCTTGAAAAAAAGCAGCGTCAGACATTTAGATACACTTTAAATAATCCCCTGCAGCCCACCTTGCATTCTTGACTCTTCAGAAGTACATAAATGTATTTCCAGATGGATAATTGCTGGTGTGTGCCTTTCCAGGCCTTCTAACCCTTCGATCCAGCACTCCAAGCACAAGATTACAGGTCCTTACAAATATTTTGAGGACACAGAGATAAAAAGGTGAATGGATATGATGCCTACCTTTTTCACTTAATTTAGGAATGGGAACCTTTTCAGGTCAGAAAATTGAAGGAAGAATCGTATTAGATAATGTCACTGTAAGGTGTTAGTATGCCTACCCATCACACTGACCATACTGTGCAGAAATAACAGTGATATTAAAATTACTCTGGAAAAGACTACATATTTCCATCACACGTAATCATATTTTGAGGGCACTTGTGCCTCTGAAAAATATCTTATAGTGGTTTTGTGTGTCCTTAAATAATAAAAGGAATAAACTTGCATCATGAGGGGAATGCAGTGCACTTATTACATTTGACCAAACAACTAACCTAACATTTTGTTTTTAAAAACGAAAAAAGGTAAACACTTGGCTTCGATAAAGGGAGGATTTAATTGTTTGTTACCTGTTAATCTGAGCAGTCCCCCCAAAAATCACAATTAGGTGTTGCATGATAATATTTGCATGGAATTTGCAAAATACAAACCACAGCAGATGTCTGAACTGGACAAGCTTGCTGAAAGAGCTATTTGTAGGTGTGGTTTCTGTCCAGGAACGCTGGACACCAAGACAGAAATTCGAAGAGAAAATAGGCACAGCTGCGCAGAGGCTTGCAAACAGAACAGTAAAATATAACTCTTCATCAGCATTTAACAATCACTGTTGTTCCTTGCTTCCTAGCCACCAACATGGCATTCCAAGCTTGCCATGAAGAACAAAGTCATGGAAAGGGACACTGATGTTGCTGACCCTTAGCCTGTAGTTACATGGATAAACTGGCTGATGGGGTGGATTCTCCCAGAGCTGTCAGGACAGATAATCAGTGGAAATGAAGTTACTCCAGAATGGAGACATGCACTGAAGAAGCACAGGCCATGGATTATCTAATTCTCTGTGCATTTTTAGCAGGTTTGTGTTTTACTGAAGATTATTCAGAGCCACATGTTGGGCCCTACCACCTGCTGAATTTGGATACGATGTCTGTAAATCTGGTGTGAAAATACAGAAAATGAAACTCTGACTTCAGGAGAGAAACTGCCAATGCCTTTGTAACTACAACTGTCTCTCACAGCTGAAAAAATACCTTTTTTATTTTGTGAAATATGCATCCTCTCTATACAAAAGTAAGCCAAGGTTAAATTCCACCACTCAGAGCTTGATTTTACCTCAGGTCCTGTTCAAATGCCTTGATTTTGATTGGAGAAGGGCCTGAGAAACCTGGTCTAATAAGACCTGCTTTGAGTGGGATTGGATCAAAATTATAACATCTGTGCCAATGCATGAACATGGGAGTATCTTTCTTTGTCAAATATGGTAAGGAAAGGTGGATCTGCCAATCAGGAAAACAAAGAGTAGGACACAGAAAGAAGAGACTAATAATAGTCTTTATAGAAAGGTTCTTTATTTTGTAGAAAGTTTGCTTGTAAATAGCTTCATTAAAAAAAAAAAAAAAATCAGCCTGTATCCAGACAAATTGCTGCTGAAATACCCCATCTGGTGACTCACAGCTCCTCAGCACAGGAAGGAAGGCTTTTCTCTCTTCAAATGCAGTGTCTTCTCAGTAAGACATTGATGCCTACTGAAGTTAGAAAATCCTCATGGGTTTCTAACCTAGTAGAGACCTCTCAGTTTATGCCCTGTGTTCTGCCTGCACCATGCTTATGTTGGACATGCTTTGGAAACAAATGTAGTTTGTATTTGAGTTAATAACTCTGAAACATAAACTTTAAGGAATTTAGAGATTTTAGGAGAGCTAAGATTTTAGTTAGAGATAAGCTTTACTAGAGTTAATTAAAATAATTGAGTAGGTCTTGGTGAAGTTAAGAGTTAGTAGTTACCTAATAATTGTTAACTTGTCAACACAATGTTTAGTTAGCTGGGTTTATAATGAAGAATATAGAATCTGACAAATAGCTTTTAGGAGCATAAGACAATTGTGGGCTTCCTCTGTTCTGAAACCAACTGAAGACAATGGCAGTTCTACCAAGAGTTCATTTGTCATATTGCATTGAAAAGGTAGAAAGGTCAGAACGAGGAAGACTTCATTTACTTCCTCATTTTGGGACCCCTCCCCATGAAAGGGACCACTGACCCGTTTCAAGGAACAAAATCTTAATAGCTTTTGAAATTATTAGCATGCAAAGTGAGGAATGGGATGTACCAAAATTATGAATATGTATTTGTATTTTGGGTATGCAATAATTGTATGGATAAAAAGACTCTGTAATCACTTGGAAGCCGCGGTGTGTATTTGGGAGCTATCCCACACGCTGCCTGGCGTCGAATAAACATATGCTTTCTAACTTTAAACTGTTAGAGCGTTTTTGTCTGTCACAGTTGGATATTGGTACTAGATCAATATCCATATTTCTTTAATAATTCAACTCCCCCTGAACTGTCTTGGACAATAAAGCCTTGGGTCCTGCTGATGCCCATCAAGAAAGACTCCTCTTGTGCAAGCAGCAGCTGCTGCATTGAAGTCTCCAAACTATTGGTAATGAACCAACACCCAAGCAAATCCATACTGTTTGTTTCAAAAATAGTCACTAAATTCGTTTTAAAGTGAAAGAAACCAAGCTCTTAAGGCCACATTTCAGTGACCTAATACCATGCTTTGAACTTCTGTAGTCTGAGATGGAGCAACTCAGCTCCACTCCCCTTAGAGAAGAGAGAGGGGAAAGGCTTTTGGGTGTTTGAAGACTGCATTTGTAGCCTGAACTGCAGAACAAAATCCAACAGGAATTAAGAATTCATGGTAGCCTCCCGTTCTCTGTTCTGAGGGTGATGTGCACATCTCTGACTTCTAAATTTCTAATTTAGAAGTCAGATTAATTAATTTCTCTAATTTCTACTAAAACATAGAGCACAGAAAAGAGAAACAAGACTCAATCTGCTTTTGGAAGATTGGAAGGCAGCAGCAGGAGCCATTTCCTGGGATGCCCCACTGACAGGGTGGGCACTGTGCAAGTACCTTAGTAACTCAGAACAGCTCCCTGCAGGCTCAGCAAAGCAGCACCTTTGTTGTGAAGGTGAGTTGAGCACTCTAGGAAATTGTTCCAGAAGGACATAAAGAATTTATTAACCTGCTTCTTGCACAAAGCAGTTTGTGCTCACCTGGTTTATCTGAAACTCTCACACTGGCAAGTTCAAGCCTTTTCCTCTTTTTCTTTCTTTTCTTTCTTTCTTTTCTTTCTTTCTTTCTTCTTTCTTTCTTTCTTTCTTTCTTTCTTTCTTTCTTCTTTCTTTCTTTCTTTCTTTCTTTCTTTCTTCTTTCTTTCTTCTTCTTCTTTCTTTCTTTCTTTCTTTCTTCTTTCTTTCTTTCTTTCTTTCTTTCTTTCTTCTTTCTTTCTTTCTTCTTTCTTTCTTTCTTTCTTCTTCTTTCTTTCTTTCTTTCTTTCTTTCTTTCTTTCTTTCTTTCTTTCTTTCTTTCTTTCTTTCTTTCTTTCTTTCTTTCTCTCCTTCTCTCTCTCTTTCTTTCTTTCTTTCTCTCCTTCTCTCTCTCTTTCTTTCTTTCTTTCTCTTCCTTTTTTTCTCTTTCTCTCTTTCTTTCTCCATTTCTTTCTTCCTTTCTCCCTTTCTCCCTTTCTCCCTTTCTCCCTCCCTCCCTTCCTGGAATCCTTCCTTCCTTCTCTCTTTCTCTGTCTCTTTTTCTCTTTCTTTCTCTCTATTCTCTCTTTCTTTCTCTCTCTCTGTCGCTTTCTCACTTTCTTTCTCTTGCTTGCTTTCTTGCTTTCCCACTTTCTTTTTTCCATTGCTTGTCCAATTTCTTGCTGTGAGATTTTCTTTGCAAGAATGAGTATGAATGAAAAGAACAGAACATTGTCCTGGATTTGTACAGTAGAAAGATATAAAAGAGAGAAGAGCAAGTCCACTGCACTGAAGCATTCACAGCTGAA